TCTCGAATAATTCGAAGATCGTTTTTAAGTAAGTGATGTTTTCGTGCGGAATAATTATTTTTCATGGGAAAAGTTGAAAGCACTGTTTCAATCGTATCTTTTTCACATTGACAGATTTAAACAATAAGATGTAAGAAACAGTTCAGTCATAAAAAAAACTATGAAAAGGGATAATTTGGTGTTTTGATGAAAACCAAAAAGTAAATCATACTATATCAGCGTCATTGTAAATGTGAAAAATGTATAAAAATTACATGTTTTGTCTCTGTTTTGCTTAATTTTTCACAAACTAAAAAATTAAGAGAGTAAGAAATAAGAATATCGTTTTTAATGTAATCGGCACGCTATTCTTATTTTTTTACTCCTTTATAAAAATTACATTGCCACTATCGTGGAATTACAAAATAAAAAGCTTTTGTCTGGAATCTTTCACTTTTTAACACTGGTGGCTCGATGGATGATGCTTAATATTTAATAATTAAGTGAATAATGAATTCAATAGAAATACAAAATAAGTTGACCGTACAAATTTTTGTGTGTAACCTAACCTTCTTTTAGTAGTAGTAGATCATACCGACGTAAATTATAATGTAGCACCTCGGGTCGCATAAAAACATTTCCAAAGTTTTTAACAAATAACACAGGGTCGGCCTTCATTTTCGTGAATGAACTTTAATTTACAAAAAAAACGCGAAGATAGAACTTTTTCGTATAAGAGTTTTCTATTATAAATATCATCAGGTAGCTGTAGTTTAATTTTTATTGATTATACATGCCACACCCTGTATATGGTTATAACGAGGAATTTAGTGCAAACGCCTATCCAACGATCAAAAGTAGCCTAAAGTATTTCAATGTGACAGTTTTACACTAAACGCCTCAATTATCTAAACAAATAATAATATACTTATTTTTGTTTCAATTTTTATATTAATTGAAAATGTACAGAATGAATAATAACCTGTAATAATAATGTAATTTTTTTAACTTGCAGCATCAGCAAGAATTGGTGGGGCGCTGCCCCCTTGACTATGCCCATGCACCAAAGGGAATACTATGACATATTTGAAATTCTTACAAAAAAATGTTCTAACAATATACGAGTATAAAATATCCACCTCTTTCCCTTTTTGCTTAAACAATAAAACGAAAATCAATTATTTGTAATCAAATTCCGAAACGTTGTCCTATTTTCTAATTTTTCTTTGTGTATAATATCAAGTTTTTAAAAACTTTTTCTTGGCCTCAAAGTAATTGGTAAATTATATGCTCGCGAAATCTTTTCATCCAGTATATACTTTGTTTATGAATCTCTATATCTTTGAGGTTTTACGGATAATCAAAGTGCGGCTGATTTTATCCCCGATTAATTAAGAAACTTCTTTCATCTCCTTGTAAATTTATCATAAAGCTGCACATACTTGAACCCAGATAAATTGATTGGGACCAAAATTCGTATTTGTTCTCAACTTCGACTTCTTCAAGAGACGAGATTGCGGAAGTTTTGATTTATTTCTTTGGGAATCCAAAACTTATTTGGGGCAGTTGTCTGGAAGAATTCGTTCCTAATTGTTTCAAGTATACTACTACGGAAGTAGTGAATCGTGGTAGGCATAGTAAATATAAATTGTGGTGCATGTGAAATATTTACCTTAAATCCTGGTGTCCCACAAGGGAGTATCCTTTCACCAATTTTTTTATAAATGCCGTAGATAACTAGATTATAACATACTTACAGGTTCTGATATGCGTATAATTATGTACGCAGATTTATTAGTATTGTTGCTAGCTTTTTGTAGAAGCTTGAAATGAAATCAAACAGAATACTAAAACTGTTGAATATTGTGTCTTAATAATAAATTATTGATAAACGTAAATAAAATGTAAAAGTATAAAAGACCTAAACAAGGTGAAATTATACTAGTGTTAAATAATAATATTTTACAAAACACCGGGTGTACATAATTTTATAGCTGAAATCTAGTCAAAAATTCAAATTGGAATAACCATATTGACCATATAATGTCAAAATAAAATTCATCATACTTTGCCTTGAAACTGGCTTATCAAGTATTTAATAATATTTTGGGCCCAGACTACCAACAGGGTATTTATTTTGCAGAAAAGATTAATCATAGGTACTGATGTTCTCTTTGAATCCTTTTGACTGATGTAGGTCAATATCCAAAGAAAGCAGAATACTAACATTTTATTGCTTAGATATTTACGAAATAGCTTTATACAGGGTGTCCCCTAAGCACATGATCAAAAAGGTACTGCGACATTCTTTAACTCAAAAGAAGTCCTTTTTCGAGATTTTCGTGCTCTTGGTAGCATTCATAGTTTTTACGCAAAAAATGTTTTCTGTTTCATTGCGACTTGAGAATTTTAGACGTATTACTAACTAACTAACACTAACTTTGCAGTAAATTTGCCCTTTTACAAGAAGCGGCTTTCTCTAATAATAATTATGCCAATTTTTTTACCTAGGATATCAATATTGAAAGTCACAATTTCAAAACCTGTCGCGACGCGACAGATTGAATATCATTTTATGTCATTAGATTTATTTCTTGTTAACACGCAAAAAATGTGAAGACGTTCGGAAAGACGTAATTCTCTTTATCGAAACTGGATGATAGTTAGATACGATAGATGATGATGGAATATACGATATACCCCCCATTTTCTTGGATGCATAGCTGGATTCTTCGACTGAAATTGAATTGAGCCCTCCTCAACATTTCTGGATCATTCCGTATTACATCCGCCTCGTCAAAAGTTTGATAATTCATTTATTATAAAATTATATCATCGCTTACTACGATAGTAGTGATTGTAATGAGTAGTAGTGATAATGATTGTCTAAAATTAAAAACATTTTTTGCGGTAAAATTATGAATGCTACAAGATTTCACCACGAAAATCTCGAAAAAGGACTGATACACCAATAAAAAAGAATTGATTCCAGGACCAAATAAAAGTTCTGGTATTTTTTGAGTCGTCAGTGCTACGACAGATGTAGCCATTGGCTCTCGCGTACAAAAGTTCTGGTAATTCTTGTGCCAAGACACTCAAGAATTTACCACTAGGAACGTGTTCACAGTAAGTTTCATTAAAATCTATAACAAATAACATTCTCCAGATATTACAAAAAAACACAATTTTGACAATCAACAGCAGAGGAGCTAGACTTTTTTTCTTAATGGAAGTTAGGTCAGATCGTCTTCTTTTGAGCCAAATAATGTCGCAGTACTTTTTTGATCATGTGCTTATGGGACACCCTGTATAAAGCTATTTCGTAAATATGTAAGCAGTAAAATGTATTAAAATAAAATAAAATTTGTCTTTTTCGGAGAAAAGTACAAGTTAATATTTTTCTAAAATACTCATTACGACCTAGTTGAAATGAGAATGTCCCACATTTTCCAGTAATTTATAATTTCTCATACTTATCTCAAAAATTAAAAAACTAGGCTATTTTTTATTTTATTTTTTCAATAGAACTTTATACCACATAATTAGATATGTGGCTATACACAACATTGGCATCAGATTTTGATTTTTATTCTGTTTTGATTTTAATTAAGCCCAAACTCATCTTTTTGTTTAATTTAAAAAAAGGAGTGGCTTTATATGTACAGGGTGATTCACTATATTTTGACCACCCTTTAACTTTTTTGTTTTAAGAGTTTTAAAAAATGTGAAATACAAAAGTTGCACAATTTTTTATGAAATTCTCGAATATGATAGTAAAAAAACAAATGAAGTTCAAACAAAATGGCCGCGGATGTTAAATTTGTTAATTTAAGTGGAACACCCTGTATATTTTTACACATTTGAATAGAACGTTCCCTGTCGAGCACAGTCATATATGGTTTGTTGGGTCAATCTCTAACAATAAGCGAGATAATATTAAAAAACGAAAAGAACGTTTTTTATTAAGAAAATAAAATATTTTGTAATTGTTGGACGTTTTTCGGGCATTTCTGCCTTTTTCCCAATTACGTAAGGATTTAGATTTATTTGCAATATATTTTGACATATCGAACATTGATATAGTCCAAAATGGGTATAAGTATTTTAACTAAATCGCACTAATTAGTCCGTGAGGGGCTTATTTACTCATGGACAATGTTATATGGTAGGCCGTGACAGTGACAGGTAATATTATGACAACATTGTTATTGTTTGACAGTTTGTATTATTATTTATTTAAAATGGGTTACACAGAAGTAGAAAATTTAAATATTATAGGAATTAAGATAGAGTAGTTAAGATATTCTCCATAGTTTATTTTAATTCCTAATAATATTTCAATTTTCTACTTCTGTGTAACCCATTTTAATTAAATACTAATACAAACTGTCAAACAATAACAATGTTATCATGACATTACTACCTGTCACTGTCACGACCTACCATATATAAGATTGTCCATGAGTAATTGGCCTCACACGGTCTAATTAGTGAGATTTACTTAAAATACCTATACGCATTTTGGACTATATCAATGTCCGATATGTCAAAATATATTACAACTAAATCTAAATCCTTACGTAATTGGAAAAAAGGCAGAAATGCCTGAAAGAGGTCTAACAATTACAAGATGTCTTATTTTCTTAATAAAAAAACATCATTTCGTTTTTTAATATTATCTCGCCTATTATTAGAGATGGACCCAACAAACCCTATATGACTATGCTCGACAAGGAACGTTCTATCCAAATATGTAAAAATATACAGGGTGTTCCATTTAAATTAACAAAGTTAACATCCGCGGCCATTTTGTTTGAACTTCATTTGTTTTTCTACTATCATTTTCGAAAACTTCATAAAAAATCGTGCAACTTTTGTATTTCACATTTTTTTATAACTCTTAAAACAAAAAAGTTAAAGAGGGGGTCAAAATATAGTGAATCACCCTGTACAGGGGTATTAACTTTTTGATGCGTTTATAAGTTTAAAAAATGTAAGTCAAGGTGTTCTGTTTGTTTCAGCTTTTAACAAAACTATGGACCGTCTTCATAAATATGGAAAAAGTTTAAAAGACTTCAATTACAACAATAAGGAAATAGCAGACGACATCTACTCAGCTATCAATTCTACTCAGTTTTTAGGAGTATCGGTGAGTATTCGCAAAAAATATTTAATTTTGCCCCATATTGTTAAGGGATGAAAATAAAATGGGTATTCATCCAGAATTTTTAAATTATAATTAAGTGGAAGATAAATCGAACCATTTTTCGTTGCTGTAACGAACATTGCACATATCTTTATGCACGGGCTAATTAAAAAATTCTAATAAAATGGGTTTGTTCGAGATCCCCCACTATGCAAAGGCCCATTTTCACCTAATTAATGCTGCATTTTCGTGTCGAGTATACATTTTAATAAAACCGGTGCCTTTGGTAAAAAACAGCGCCAGCTAATTATATTGGATACGCTGCTCGGGAATGTTCCGTTTTAACCACTAATTAAATTAAATGAATAGTGGCCCGTTTCCCAACGTTACTTTTATATCACTGCGAATCTATTTCCGACGGGAAAGATTAAATAAAAATACCTCGAGTGAATATTTCGTGCAGGCACTTGGAAATTGTTTCACTGTTGAAATAAGAGAAACGAAAATGGCTTTAGTTTTAAATTAATTTTTTTATAATGAACGAGATTAAATTACGTGGAATGATAAGGTTTCTTCTCTACGCTAAAAGTTAGTTTAAAGGTTACCGAACACATTCAAAATATTTTCTTGTATGTTATTTAAAAATAACATCTGCATAACATCGAAACATTATGATTTAGACCTAATAATTATTTATCAAAGTAGGCCCTAAATTCAATGAAAAATTAAAAAAATTCATTAATATATAGTGCTACAAATAAAATTATTTTAAATGTAGAGAAATTGGTTTAGTGAACTTTTATTTGAAACACTTTTTTGTTTTATTGATATTACCAGAACTATGGAAAAATCTTTTACGTGGGACACCCTGAATACTATCTAAAAATAAATATTACACTTCTTTTCTGAGATAAAGCATTTCACGTACCTACTAAAAAATGAGTATTATCTACAAAGAAAATCCGAGTTTATAACTCTATTTTTTTTATAACATTATTCTTGAGGGTATAACCATTTTCCGACAGCTCTCGCTTTTATAACTCATTTCTTATGGACTAAATATCGATTCTGTCCCTATTGTAAAAGATAACCCTGGCTCGGTTTTTGGGAGGAGCGGAATATATATCCTCCTGAATGAAGGAAGTTGCCTAACGCATAAACAAATGCCACATTTATATCACAAAGCTCTTGGTTAAACCTTCCAAATATTGAGCGTTTTATAATTGTGAATAAACGGATAAATTATAATGCCCAAAGTTAGACAAATAAAATTCTAAAGTCATTTGTTTACCTATAGGTACATACGAATTTTTTGTACAATTTTAATTTGTGACGTTTGAAAGGAAATTTTCCTCAAATTTAAAAAATAGAGAAATTTATAGTCCAATTAACTAAGCCTTTATATCGAAATTTTGTCAACTTGGCTGAATTTTTGATATGAGTTAGTTTAAGGTATATTATAACAATAAGTGAGAGTAATTTTTTGTTCAACCCCCGGCCAAGGGTGGAAAAAGATAAAACAAAGGGCTTTTTCAAGATAACTCAAAAAGGGTAAGAGCTAGAAAAAAGAGCTTTTTCATAAAAGTTGTAAAGCAGACAATTCTACATAAAAATGGTCTCTTAGCTTTTTCTTGTACTATTAAAATTAACAGAGTTAGGGAGGCTAGAAGTTAAGGGAAGATTTCAGAAATTTAATTTTGTTAAATCATTAAAATTAACGATTAAAAATTTGATTTTTTGTTATAATTTTCTTATTAAAAATTAAAAAATATATCTATTTCTCTGAAAAGAAAAGTTACATATTTTAGAGCAGATTGAAAAAAAAAATTACAAAATTCAATCATTTTTCTGTTATGATTTTTTTCTAGCTCTTACCCTTTTTGAGTTATCTTGAAAAAGCCCTTTGTTTTATCTTTTTCCACCCTTGGCCGGGGGATGAACAAAAAATTACTCTCACTTATTGTTATAATATACCTTAAACTAACTCATATCAAAAATTCAGCCAAGTTGGCAAAATTTCGATTTAAAGGCTTAGTTAATTGGACTATTACAGGATTTTGCAAGTACGATTCTCTAAAACAGGACACAACAATCTTAGCAGTAATACCTTTTAGGAGTAAGCTTAAATTCTATATTATAACATGTAAAAAACAAAACTTCAAAAACGTTATATTTTAAAATATCGCTCAGAAAATCATAGCTAACATCTAAAAAATTGAAAAATAACGATATAATAAAAAAATATTAATTTACCTATAAGAGTGATAAGGTTACCACTGAATATCTATTTAGAATATAAACAGGTCATACCTCTATCGATCACATTTTATAAGAAATAAATACTTACCTGTATTGTCTTGTCTACAACAGTAATGACTTCTATTTGTACTTCTACGAATATCTTTCCTCCTAATTTAAATAACGATTCCCGAGAATTCATTCACAAATACTCTATTCTTCATACAATACAGTTACTACTGATGAATACATTTCCATGTACTGAATCCTGAATAGCTAACTAAAAGTGATAAATACAAATACTGAATATTGAGCATTCAGTCCCTATATTGAGTACTATACATGAATACACTGTACTCAAGTAAAATCCAGCTCTATACCCAAAGAAGACCTCAATGGGATTTATGAGATTTTCAAAATTGAGCCTTATTCAATTCCGCTACCCTACAATGAATGTAGCTAATTATTTGAATTTGAAATTGATATGCTATTCGTAGGAAGCGACAAAATGAAATGAAAACTCTCCTAGTTTTAAAAACATTTTTTATAGATTCTGAGAACCCCTCTTGATTTGTTCGCCCTGTTTGTCTATGATCGATTTCAGCAACAAAATAAGCAACAAGTACTAGAGGAGAGAATTGAATACCGTAATTAATTAAATTCAGGCTTTCAGGCAGCCACCTCTCGAACGCAAATTACGCTCTCTGTCTTGTGTTTAACATGTGAGAATTTCTCAGAGAGATGCAAATTCAACAAGCGAAGACTGTGTACTACCGGTTTGTCGCCGTTTATGAATATTTGCTGAGAGCCTTTGCATATGTCCGCGGAAGCACGGTAAGCTCAATTAGTAAGAATCCAACAAACAGTGAAGGGACAATAAAGTCCTTTAGCATTTTTTCCAGTACAGCCACATTTTACGCCTGAATGCCTTGTTGAACATTGTCAAAAGTAATCACCAAAAATGACAAGTTTACTGTTTTAGAAGTGTATTTTTAACTGAAAAAAAGTTAATTTTCTCGATTTTCTCAATTATTATTATTGACTGGTTATTTTTAATTAACTTAAACGATGTCAATGCAGCCTTAAAATATTTCTACGAATATTTGTCTGGAATACCTGAACATGTTCCTTTATTTAGGATTTACTGTCATTCTCATCTACATTGGTAACTCCTGAAATTATAAAAAATATCAGTAATAGAGCTAAATTTTTTAAAAATTATAAAAGAATCAATTATATATTCCAAAATTCCCTTTCATAATCTTTAAATCATATTTAAATAATAGTCCAATTTGTTTCATGCAATGGGTTCGTATCATTTAATTACTTTGCAATCTCAGGAGTCGCAGTACCACAGGGCTCAAACCTTAGGCCTTTATATATTTTTTGTTTCTACTAACGACATTTGTTAAGCAATAATTGACAGTAATATGTTATTCATTTTTGATGATATGAAAATCTTTACTTCTATTTCTTCTACAGGCATGGTGTCCTAAAAAGAAATTGCACCTTTGCACCTTAATGTATGCAAATGCAATATTGTTTGTTATACCAGGAAAATATTCCTATTCTTTTCAAGTATGTTATTTGATACTGCACTTTCCCCCTATGAAATTATTAATATCTTGGTCTGCTTGGTATTTTTTCGCGTTTTTTAATTAGTATTTAGAAAATTTGATTTACATTTGATGTGTACTGGTATTTCAAAGAAAAAAGATCTTCCATTTGATCCGGAAAACAAACCATTTTCCTCTTATTAAAGGTTTTTATGACGTCAGTAAAACTACTAAATCCACAGCAAAAAAACTGTTATGAACTTCTTCAACAAAAAAAAAAAAAAAACAGTGGTCTAGAAATTTTGTCAGTGTTGTTGGTCAATGTCAATTTTGGACTGTTAGTGATCTCATTGCAATTAAACAGTATTTCCCGTATGATATTCATTTTTTTTTTTGCTGTAGAATGAGTAGTTTTAAATGTGCGGTAACTTAGATAAAAACAATAACAACAACGGAAATATGTAATTGTTTACCGAATAAAATTGATGAAATTCTACAATTTTTCTAAAATATGTAGTGACGCCAAAATTCAGTAGTTCTTAGTGCCAATGTGTTGAGTATTTCCGCCATTGGCTGATAATTGTACAAACATTCAGAGAATTTTTACATTTATTTTATTACGTCACAAATCCAGTTTACATTCTCAATGATGTTTGCATAAATGTTATGCACAAAAAATGTGGAGATCTACATAAACTTTTTCATATTTGCAATTATATTTATTGTATTATGTAATTTTTCATAAAATTTTTATGTGTATATTTTAAAAAATTTTAACATCCCGTTTCTCGAAAGCTAAGCCATTCAAGCTTTATACGAACTTTTCTTCTTGAACTGATTATCTTTGTGTGGTTAAGGCGGACGCCCTGTATAAAAGAAAAATATTTCACAATAACGTTTAAAACAAAATGTCTAATTCTGAGAGTCCCGAAGTGAAACGCCTGTAATTTTCTGACAGCAGGGGCGCACATCCTATCAAATTTAGATAAACAGCTTCCACGTTGTGGAATTACTGTAAGAGACGAGGCCGGAGAAAACGGCGTTTATCAGGCTTAGAATTTCCACGGGGGAACTTGTGTAAGGGCATTTCGAGTAGACTCGTTAAAAAAATCCTCGCCGTAAATCCAATAAATTTAAAAGAGTGCCAATAAAGTCTTGTCAGACGCAACCTTTTACTTATACCGTTTCACGTTAAACGAAATGAAATCG